GAGGGATTTGGATGCGAAGACAGCTTTTATTTGTAGGACACTTTTTGCGTCTGGATTTTGTCTTTCACTGCGAGGATGCCCAGATCTCGATGGATGTTTTCGTTGCTTTTAATTTTTTGGTGCATCTTTTTGCATTCGATGTGCTTACGTCAGGTTAGTCTTCTATCAAGGTGGAAGCCAATACGTGTTACTTCGTTAGCTTGAAGGATCTGCATACCGTTTAGTGAAAGCGGAGGGCAGACGAACTTTAGTTCGTTTATTTTAATGCGCCAGTCGGACAGCCACCTTTCCACTACTCTAAGATGATTAGAGAGCAGGATTGTTGCTTGGGTTGGGCATCTGGAGCGACTAAGGATAGCGTTATCATCGGCGAACGTTGTTAGTTTTTCGTTCGTAGGAGTATCCGCAGTATACAAAACATACAGACAAGGGCCGAGTGCGCTTCCTTGTGGAACTCCAGCTTCGATGATGTAGTCGCCCGAAGTAGCTGCGTTGCATCTCACTGAGAATACCCTATTATAGAGGTATGGTTTCAGTAGCTTGTGGGTGTATGTTTCAATTTTGTATATGTTTTAAATACGTTTAATTTGTGCATGAGGCCATTAAGCCAGGGTTTGGCTGGAAGACACATTGATGATGTGTAGCGAATGTTTTAGCTGTTCTCGTCGCTGCGAGCCCAGCATTTCGAAGAGTTTTTTTTGGGGTGGTCGTTTCAATTGGGGCACTTAGACTTGGGTTGGCCCTTCACAGGGGATACTTTGTGCTTGTTGCCGAAAGATTCTGGATGGACATCAGCTATACATTTTCTTCCTGTTGGTCAAGAGCTTGGTCAAGTGATCGGGTTGCTTCCTTAAGGCGTTGCTTTAAAGCTGGTGATCTGCCGTTTTGCCAATCATGACGCGTGCGCCTCTTTTCTCGCTCAAGCTGTTCGATTTTCTGATTGAATTTGTAGTATTTGTTTTGGTCTACTTCCTTCCCTTAAGGAGTAGAGATCTTAGCTGCCGCAACGAGTACTTCTTTCATGGCGCTCGTAGGATAGTCGATGTCCGATTCAATGTTAAGTTCCAAGACGACGACGTCAGGCTGAAGGAGTGTTCATCAGTGGTCTGATGATAAGTCCGAGACTCCTTTGGCACTTATTAGATTGCGAAGCATGTTTTTTGACACTGCAAAGTCGATAAGCTTGCGCAAAGTCGCAAAGTCGATCTGGGAGCTTGCGTGAGTCTGTTGGCCAGTATGTGGCACTTTCAGGGGAAACATAGTCCAGTTTATTTCTCATATTTGCATCACATTTGAAAAATTGCATGCCTTCCTTTGGGAGTCACTAGACGTGATCGCCAGTGCGTATGTTTGGCATTGTAGTCTCCTGCGGCTATAAAACGATCCCCAAGTGAATTTAAAGGTCCATAAACTTTTCTTTCGGGATTGAGATGCTAAGAGGGCACAAAACGGCAGCGATTGAAAAGCCTTCGTTGCTTGACTGAATTTTTATCAATGTGTCCTGCAAGAAGTTTGTTGCAAAACTTTTATAAAAATGGTGTTTGATGCGTTCTGTGATTAGAATTGTGTTTCCGTCGTGGATTTTCGCATCCGAATGATCTTTGCGTTGGAATGATTGTACAGCCTCTTATTTGAAAAATGTATTTGCTTGTAAGATGCGTTTCCACCAGTAGCGTCAATATGATCTTCGTCTATTCTAGTTTATGCCGTAAGACATTAAGGCTATATTAGATTTTCCATCACAGATCGTAGAGCATCGATATAAGAGAAGTTTTTGATCCTATTTACATATTCTGTGAATTTTTATTGCCGGTTTCGGTCGCTTGTCGCATGCGATTCTTCAACTCCTTGTGCACCACACATTCTCCGCAGTTTCCACATTTTTCACGGTACTTTCCTTGTTTGTAGAGCTGTATGCGGAGTTATGGGTGTCCCCGCAGACAACACAGACAACCTGAAGTGTTATAGTGTGTCCATACTCTTGGCAATTAGTGCATTGCACTGGACAGCGACCTGCTGTCTGGCTCGTGCTCGACCTTAAAGAGGGGTTGTGGCTTTTTGTTTTTTTTTTTTTATTGTAGAATGTTAATAACATTCTTGGCGGCGAAGGCCTTTTTATTAAGAGCGGTTTTAATTTCCGCAGCTGTAATATCGGGTTAAATTTCGATGTAAATTTAGTAGTTTTTCTTAGCATTCTCCATATATTTAGACACCACTCGAAAGTAGTTTGCAGTCTTTGTTTGCATCTTTATTTCCTGAAGATTCACTTTAATAAGCGGTACAACATTAATATTGTCACCCGTCACCCGATTCCCAATTAACGCCACAATTCGGTTAAACAGGGCACTCGAGCTTTTCTCCCTGAAATAGATGGGAGAGAGCTTGGGTACTCCGCCAGTAGATCGGATATGGCTATATCGACTCGGCTGTTGATGCTGATCAAAAATATATATATTTATTTTGGGAAGAGAAGAAAAATCAAGTTTTCTTGAACAACTTCTTAACCAAAAAATTAGGATGGTTGAGGTGTCAATCCAAAAATTCAAAATTATAATTTTATTGGAGAAAAATATTTTCTCTCCAAACTTAAATGTTTTTGACTCAATTAAGTCAATCAAAATCATTTCAATAGGTAATAGGTAAGAAAATTTTTTTTTTTTTTTTTTGCGGTTTTTTAGAATTTGGAAATAGCTTGTGCATCAATAAGAGCATCAGCTAGCATTCCTGTATTCATCATAAAGCTTAGAGGTCCAGACGACCGAGGGGCGCTCGAGAAACGATTTGTTAGTACATATTAAGCTATTTGAAATTTGTTAAGCTAAGAGGAGTTAGTAAGGAAATTTAAAATTCTTTTAAATTAGATTAAATAAGATTAATTATATTTTAAATTAGAGGGACAGGAAAGAGATGTAATAGAGTAGAGACCATTGTAGTTCGAACATAATGCCCTGACAGGGTCATGCAGTGCATATGTCGAACTACAATGGCTAAGGAATAGAGGACTAAAGTTTCGAGTCCTTCTATTAGGAATGTTAAATTATAAACGTGTTGGTAAATGCTGGCTATCTTCACCTTATAAGGTTATGCAGAAAGACTACACCAAGCATTGTCCTACGATTTGTTAGCTAGGTAAGTTTATAAGTAAAAGTCTGCTACTGTAGGATGGAAGCTGAAGATTTGCATCCCAGTATAGACCTCTAAGTGCAAATATTAAAAAGTTCTTTTGTACGGATTCTATGCGGTCCTTATGTACTCCATATTGGGGACTCCAGACACATGAACCACCTTTTAATAAAACCAAGGACTCCTTTAGCCTTATTAGCCATTAAGGAAATATGGTCGGCAAATTTAAGTTTGATGTCTCATGGGATACCAAGATCATTAACCTGGGATAATTTTTCTAAGGCAATCCCATTAATAGAATAAGTAGCTTGCAGAGGGAAAGATCGATAAAAAGACATATGCTTGCATTTTTATCCATTAAGTATTAGATCATTAGCTAAGTATTAGATCATTCTTCCAAACAGATATACTTTTTTCAAATGTTTTTCTTTGCAAACATGGTTTTGATTCATTCATTCAGATGAGGCAGAACATTTTTAATTCATCGGCTATATAAAGTTTTTTCATGCGCACGCATACGGTTACCAACCATGTGTACTGCCGTCCACAGTGATATATTATCGAGCCACAGAATTTTTATTATTAGTCAAAACAAGAAAATAAAGTTAACTTCGGGCGGAGCCGAACCAATGTTGGTAGTTTTATAAAATACCAAATTCCATTTCCGATCTTTCAGTTATATGGCAGCTATAGGATATAGTATTATATATATATATATAGGCATTGGAATAAGTTTTTGCATCAGAACATAGTTTGGCATCAAAACATTTGTAGAAAATAAAGTACCCTTTATACTCGTATTTCTGTCTGTTTCAATGCACGCTTATAGGTATTGGAAAGTCATCTTGAAGTATCTATTATTGTCTCGCTCTAAGAAATAGAGAATAAGAAAATATGTATACCAACTTTTTGTTTCTTTTTATTCTTCAAATTTAGTCTCAAATTAAAATCCCCCAAAAAATTTGCTTTGAATTCTGCCGCTCTATAACATTTTACAAAAACGTGTTTAAACTGGCAATACAACAATATTTGCGTTTCGGGAAACAAACATATATATATATTTACGAATCTCAAATAAAAGTTATTAAAAAAATATTTATATTGTATGAAATTCCAATTTTACTTAAGTTTACAAAGTTTATAAGTTTAAGTTTAAGTTACACAGACCTTAATGTTAGATAAGTCTCAAACTGTAGCTTGGGTATTTGTTAGGGAGTAGGGTTTATAAAGCTATAAGATACGTTCCACATACGCTTCCTCATTACCGATCCAATAGTCTCTTTATTTTGTTAATATTAAAGACAAGTGTATTCGTTCTCGTGAATATACTTGTTTTTTATTATTTTTAAAATATGATTTTATGTCTAGGTATCCGAAATTTGTTATTGGGATTTAACGAGGGAACATGTCTATATCCGGGGGTTGGTGTCCACTTGTTTAGTCTAGCAGTCTGGAGATTCATGTTTCGTTTTTTGTGATTTATTTTAGACTTTGACTTGGGTGTCTAATTTCTAAACCGGCTTGTTTCTAAAGGTGTCTTGGGTATGAGTAAGATCAAATGATCTTCGAATGTTTATGGGAGACTGGTTACTAGTAATTGTGCATGTTGTGGTAAATTTCAAATTTTTCAAAAGCTACAACCCAAAACAATTTAAAAACTCCCGGAATTTTAAAATAGGTTTTATCAATGTTATCAATCAATTTTGATTCTCAACTTAAGCTTTCAAAGAAACCTAAAAAAATTAAATTAGAAGAGAGGGATCATGCAATACTGCTTCTCATTAGACTTTTAATGTAAATTCAATTGTTACATTGATTCATGACGTAATAAAAAATTATCTGTTGGTAAAAATATTTAGGTATAACATTATATTTACCAGTGTGGGGCAATATATGACTTCCGTCGGCGGTTAAAATACTATGAAGTAAGAAAACAATGCCATAAGCTATGGCTTTTAGGCCCAATTTTATAAAAATCATCGTTCCAGTCTTATTATTTTATTAATCGATCGATGGATCTTCAGGTACACATTATTCTTTATTTCATTACATAAAATGATCTCGATTTACGAGGTGATCCCTTGATTATTTTTTTTCCAGCTTTTGCGCTCGCTCATATTGCCATATTTGTGCCATTATGTAATTTCTCTAAAAATAAATAAAAAATACTGTGTGAATTTCAAACATTGCCGTTTATATATATGTATTTAAATCAGGGATCGGCACCCCAATACATTGATATGATTTTACCGCATTAGTGTTAGTAACGAATAGCAGAAAGTAGGCTGTGTGCATGACGTTTCACACATTTATACTGTGTGTGTGTGGCAGAGCTCGGGCAGAGAAATTTCCTATGCCCCCGAGATAGGGCCGTGCCGACCTCTGATTTAAATGTAAGTACTATTTTTAGTTAGTATTAATATCGGACAAATTTTGGATTACCATGCAAGAATGAATGGGATCGCAGGGAAAAGTTTTTAGGTATCCGTTGCCTTTCTGGGCACTTGACCAAGTATATATGGGTATATCTCCTCCAAAAATCCAGCGATTCAGATGCAGTTTGTTTTTCTGATATATATTAACTATAGAAATAATTTGGCATCAAGAGTTTTTCATAAACTCATCCAGTACTTGAGCTACGGAATTGCGCTACAATTTAGAATGTCGCGCGGGGGTGTGGAAAAAATTTACGACAAAATTGAACTGCGTGGGCGTGGGAAGTCTTCAAGTCACATTCTCTATAGCTCTAAATCTTATAGAGTCTGAGATTCACGCGTTCATACGGATATTGCTATATCGACTTGACTCTTCAAGAATCGGCTGATCAAGAATATATAATATAATTTATGGGTCGGAGATGATTTCTTTTCTATGTTACCTACATTAGCACGACTAAAATATACCCTTGTACTACCCTTGTATTAAATAAGTACGTACATATTACACTTAGTTATAATAAAACAAGAAAGAAAAGCTAACTTCGGGCGAAGCCGAAGTTGATATACCCTTGCAGTTAAAACCGGATATATATCGCAAACATCGGATATAGTTGGCCGATCCTTATGATTACATCATAATAAAACCAATAAATTAAAATAAAAAATCTAAAAAAAAGTCCCAAGCTTCTATCTTAAAAAATACGAATGTTGGTATTTCTACCAAATACCATTTCCGATCGTTCAGTTATATGGCAGCTATAGGATATAGTCGGCCGATTCTAATGAAATTTGGTAGGTTGAATTAACTGACCAAAAATAGAATATGTACTAAGTTTCAGCTTTCTATCAAAAACACGAAAGTTGGGTCATTTCCGATCGTTCAGTTATATGGCATCTATAAGATATAGTCGGCCGATCCTTATGAAATTTGGCATGTCGTATTATTTTGCCAAAAGTAGCACTCATGTAAAATTTAAACTCTCTTACTCTTAAAACACCAAAGTTATACCATATCCGATCAATCAGTTATATGGCAGCTATAGGATAGAGTTGGCCGATCCGAGCCGTTCCGACTTATATACTGCGTGCAAAGGAAAGAAGGGTGTGTGCAAAGTTTCAAGACGATAGCTTTAAAACTGAGAGACTAGTTCGCGTAGAAACGGCTAGACAGACAGACAGACGGACAGACAGACGGACAGACGGACAGACGGACAGGGGAACATGCTCATATCAACTCAGGAGGTGATCCTGATCAAGAATATATATACTTTATAGGGTCGGAGATGTCTCCTTCACTGCGTTGCACACTTTTGGACAAAATTATAATACCCTCTGCAAGGTTATAAAAAGTAAAATTCTTATTTAAAAATGTTTTTGTTTCTTTTTGATGTTGTTTTTATTAGAATTAAATAAAATTTAACTTTCAAACAAAAAAACTTAAAATTCAAGTTAAAATTAAAAAATTTAAATAATATTTAAATTATTTATAAACTTATGTACTATCTCCATAGCGAGAATAGACAAACATCTATTCTTCGGGTCAAAAATATCGGTTACAGATATTCCGGGCCTACCATTTACAAATAATTATATGTGCTTTTATTTCTTTTCCTTATTTTTCATATTCAGAGTTAATTTTTTATGTTTTGATGAATGTAGAATGTTTTCATCATATGTTTCCGTTGCTATGTGACATAAATGGCTTCATTCTAATCTCTTTCGTAGTACCTTTATTTAAAAAAGATGTTGGTGCCTCGGGTATTGCGTAGTAAAAAAAATTACAAATACAAAAAAAATTTGTTTTCAATTATTTGAGAATTTAGCTAACAATGCGTTAGAGGCGATTTGTTTACTTTTCGTACATTTTTGTACGTTATCAATTTTTTTAATTTTGGCCTATGGGAGCAACCACTGTGCGATGTGGTCTCGTGGTTTTAAAAAAGCGTTTATATTTTTTTAAAAGTCGATAACAGATGTTTTGGTTATATTGATCGAAGCTTTTTAAAAGCTCTACGATCAGCTGATCATCAGCTGTGAAAAGACAAACACACCATATGATTTTGCAAAGAAATTTACAAAATTCTTTCTTTTTGCCCGCTTTGATTTCGAGGTCCTCGAAAGCCAAAAGAGCAGTGCGAGATTGGCAAAAAGTTGCGAAATTTTACTAGTACGCTTATAGTAAAGTGACTCAAGACTTTTGAAGAAAAAGGGATTTTTTCAAAAACAAAAACCAGGAATGGCTACAGTTATTGAATTATTATTAATAATTATTGAACTATTTATTGAAATATCAGCTTCCGAAAATATTTGGGGTACAAAAAGATATTTTAGATTTTTCCAAAAAAAACCCGAAGTCAAAAAATGGTCAGGCCTTACTAAAATTGTCCCATCAGATGCATTTTTTGGTAGCTGCAAGCTGCATTTTGTATAAAGGTGGAAAACGCAGTGCTTCACAGTTGGTGTCAATGTTGAACGCCGGCAAAGAGTTTAGGCAAAGAGTTTATAAAACTATGACTGCCCCACAGCGTCTACCGGCAAGATTATCTTATGAAAAAGCTTTGGCCCCATTCGTAGATGTTGGATATACCAAGTACACATGGAATTTGGCAAAGAGAGCCGCCAAAGGACAAAACGTCGATATATATTTATGGTACGATATACTGCGTTTTGCGGCCAACAATTTATGACTCCGATGAAAACATAATAGAACAATACTTATTTTCAATTTGTATGGTACAATTTACAGTGCAGAATGGCGGCCCATTACGGAAAAACAGTTTTATGGAAAAACAATCGACTTTCTTCTACTCGGTATTGTCGATCCATTAAGATACTTTGCGGGAAAGAATCGGTAGACTTCGCAGTGAACGTGAAAATTTTAAAAGCCAAATATCAAATATTTTTCCAACATAAGTGGGTAGCTTTAGAATTAATCACCAATTTCATATGACCATGCTTGATGGCCTACCGTTCAGTGTCATATCGGAATCCTTTTTGCAAACATGTGGAATCTTTAGCGTAACTCCAAGGAATGTGAACGATCTGAATTTGGTGAAGAGCTTGTTTATGAAAGAAAACCTCTTTGAATATGGCTTATAAAGTCTTCGCGCCTGGATTATGTTTTTCGAGTGTGTTTTGCACATTGCATATAGAATTCCCATCAATATCGGATAATTACTAATTATCAATAAAATAATAAAAAAAAAAATAATAAAAAAAAAAATGGTAAAAAATATTTCCCAATCCTTGTAACAGAAAGATGTGTTATAATAAAAATTCACCTGTTTAACAAAATTCAAAGTAACCCATTTGACATGGCGCGATCCTGATGCAATTGATAAGGAAAACGTCATCAACCAACGCTTTCTGCTTAGTGCAAATACAGTTTCTTCTAATTAAAGCATTACAATTAGTAAATGACTTCTTTGGATTTGTTTACTCCAGTACAAACGAAAAATTATGAAAAATTTGACTTTTAATAATTAGGGAATTGTTGGTTATAAGAAAGAGTATTCTATTGCTTTGTTTTATGGACCACTTCCAAACATCTTTGACTGAAACATCGCAGAGACTTTCTTAGTTGATCATATAAGATTATATATATGCTATAATACTTTATATTTAATAAGAAAAATCTTAAAAAGTTGGGTCCGAAAATATCTTACATCTGCCATTCAACTGAACGATCGGTAGTACCATAACTTTCATGAAATTTTTATAAGAATCGACCAATTATTAAATACTAGTAGTGTAGTGTAAATACTACAGTATAATTATCGAGCTAAATAAGGTTTTATTTTAATTCCACAAGGTTAAGGTTTCATTTTTGGATAAAGAGAACAAATAGACATGGAAAAAGTCGGACTCTGGATTTCTTTAATATAATTAATAATTTTTTTATTTATTATTACAAATTTTATTAAATAAAACCAACTTATTTTACTTACTTATATATTTAATTTCATAAATATTTATTGTGTTCGCTATGTATCGGTAAACATTTTTTTAAGGTTTTATTATCAGTTTGAATGGGTAGATATAATTTTATTAAACCTAAACAATATCGCAGTTTTTTTGTTTCTTTATAGGTTAACTTTAATTTTTTTTATAATATGCTTAATATAGCAGGAAGACGATATTGTATTATTTTTGTCCGGAATTTTTTTCAAAAATTTTACATTTTTATGTTGAAGTTAAACAAACAAATTCCGGATATTCAAGTGGATAGGTGGCGGTAAGTCCCGATATATTTACAAGTTTTTTACGGTTCTCAATAAAAAATAGAATATTATATTAATTTTCTTCAACCGTCACGTTACAAAGTCAGTTTGAGACTAAAACATATTCCCGAAGTAGAATACAGCAAGCTTGAGGATTTTATTAGAAGCTAACTTTTAAGCTCGTAGCTCGGTACTTGCGAGCACGAAGTTTCGCCGCACTTCACCGGTAACTGGGGATAATAAATACTGCTTACCGATTGGTCGCAGCTACACCGAGGGTTGCAGTTATTATACAGTAATGATTTTGCTTTGTCTAGTTACAAACGGCTACCACCATGTGCTTGTGGAATCTAAATGAAGGTTTTTGTAAATTTATTTTGATGAAATATAATTTTTATTAAGTATGAAAAAAAGATGCAAAACTATTTGTAAATAAGTACTTGCATAAAAATTTTACAACATGTGACAATTTGCGCCAAAGGATACT